CTTTCCCCCGCCCCCCCCCCTTCCCCCCCTGCCGAAGAGATCTCCACCGCTGAGAGCGGCAGCGACAGCACTTGCCTCTACGAGGGTCAGAAGAGGCTCAGAGGACCGAGCGGGGAGGTAAGATCCTGATGCGGGGAAGGGGGTCGGAGGCGGGGGGGGGCGGTCTCAGAGGATGTGAATTGCAGAGATGCGGTTCTGATGTTGGTTTACCCTTCACTACTTCCCCTCTCACCTCTCCTTTCATCCCCCCACCCCACCCCAGCAGGGTTTCGCTGCCGCTCCGAGCTACAGCAAGGAGCCTGCTCCCCCCGTGGCCATTTGGAAGGGGCACTCGTTCAACACCATCTCCGGCCGAGAGGCAGAGAAGTTCAGTGGCAAAGACAGCGGCAAAGGCGACAGCGATTTTAATGACAGCGACTCGGATATCAGTGGAGATGCCCTGAAGAAGGATCTCATCACGCACATGCAGAACGGTAAGGGCTCAGCCCCTGCTCCCATCTGGCCCCTCCAGATGAACGGATGGGTGGACAGAGGGACCCGTCCCCGGGGCACAGGAATTAGGCAGGGCAGCTGGAGGGGGAAGCCTGATGCTACGTGACTCAAACTGCCCGTCCCTTCGCAGCAGGCTGTGAGAGGCTGGTTCCTCTCTGCACTGAGTGCCCAGCTCAAATTAGCAGGTGCTGGAAGTACTGTAGGATTGGGGTTTTTCCCTCCTCAAAAAGCTTCCCTTAAAGTTAGGATTGTGAGGAGTGTCCCTAGCAAAACAACATAACCTTCCCAAGCGTGTTTTTTCGTTGTGCCGTAGAGCATCCCCTCCCAGCTCCCACTGTCAGTGCATTGAATCGTCCCCTGACTGACAACTCTGAGGATTATGAATTATGTGGATTTATTGCTGCAGTAATGACAGGTTTCTCCTTCTCTCTCTCCCTTTAGGTCTGTGGGCATGTACGGCCGAGTGCAAGATCCTGGGCCACTCGGACCGCTGCTGGAGCCCCTCCTGCGGCCGAGCCAACCCTCACCCCTCTCCCCATCCCTCGGCACCCCTCTCCACCTTCTGCAAGAGCACGTCCTTGCCCAGGGATCCCCTTCGCAGGGACAACTTTTATCAAGCCCAGCTGCCCAAAACAGTGGGGCTTCAGAGCGTCTACGAGAAAGTGCTGCACAGGGACTTCGATCGGACGATCACGCTGCTCTCCCCGCCGCGCCCCGCACGGCTCCCCGACCTTCAGGAGATCGGGGTGCCCCTCTACCCAGCCCCCTCGACTAGATACCTGGGCCCCCAGACTGACACAGCTGAGAAAGTGTAGCCCAACGCGCTCCCCACCCGAGTACACACGTCCCTGCGCGCACACGACTAGGTCACTCCCGAGAGCCTTTAAGTTATTGACCAGATCCGGTGTCGTACGTGTAAATATGCAAGATGTGCCTTAAAAATGAAATTGTTGGGAAAGATTTCCAATCACGTCAGTACTGTTTGATATTTGCAAACAAAAAAAAATTGTTTGTAGTTAATGTAATTTTTATGAAATGTGCAGTATTTAAAATTTTTTTTCATGTTTTCTACATTTTTCTTTTTTGCTTTTGGTTCCCCCATGGCCTGCCATTTTTTGTAGTGTTTTTAACCTGTATATTGTGTAATGTAATGTTTGTACATAATGAAAATTGGTTATATTTTTATATAATAAAAGCTTAAAAAATGGGAATTTTGCCAAAGGAACTGTCTGAAAAAAGACACAATAATAATAATTAATCATAATATCCTGAATATGTAGAACCTTGTAAGGGAAATTCCTCCTTCATGGTGTAATAATAACCTAAGCAACCCAGTGTACTGAGAAGTTTGCCTTGCCAAATGTGACTTGTATTTCTTGAGTCTGTGGTCAGCTTAAATGTTATTTAATTGCCTTTGGTTCCTGTAATCTGTGTCACTGATAAACACTAATAAAGGTTTTGTGATGTGTCGGAGGGATCTGTTCATGGATTTCATGTTTCAGAGCGTAGAGGTCTTTACCAGTCAACAAAAATATTTTGTGCAGAGAAACGCAGTGGGGAGGAGCATGGACGATGCTACTTTTAGTCTCGCCCATCCTTCATCTCTGGCAATACCTCACTGGAGGTTTAGCTCCAGAGATTTTAATGATGGGTTGCAGGGTGGAAGGGAGGGCTGTGTGACGGAGCTGGCCTTTGCTTTTCACTACCTGGTCTGAGCTCTTCCAGCCCCATCCTTCACTGTTGGGAAGCGGTGTAATTGTAGTGAAGCAAATGAAACTATGTCCATCAACTGAAGTGTTCATGCCGTGCAAATATCCTTGCACCACCAGCCACTTGAGCACTTTGTTTTCTGATCTGGCTGAGACGTTGATTGAGTCAAGCTGCGTAGGTTATGTGCTTATATGTTTATTGCTTGTTAAGGCAGCCTTACTAAAGGATAGTAACTTGCATTTTTGTACGTATATTTCTACACCAGGAGAAAGGATAGGTTTATGTTTGTGCATAAAACAGAGAAAGAATAGTTGTTGATTATGTTGAGATTGTCTGTGCTGCTGTGGTGGGTTGCCCTTGGCTGGACACCAGGTGCCCACCAAGCTGCTCTATCACTCCTCAGCAGGTTGCGGGGGGGAGAATATAAGATGGAAAAAAAAGTCTTGGGCCAGGATAAAGGCAGTTTAATAAAGCAAAATCAAAGGCCACGCACAGAACAAAAGATTAATTCTCTACTTCCCGTCAGCAGGTGATGT